AGAAATTTTCTGCTTTGCTCGATTTTCATGAGGGGGGAGTTAGCATTCCTATTTTGTTGTCTATGTCCTGACCACAGTGATATTGATATGGATAGACATTAGGGGCCGGGGCTTACAGAAACTTTTATAAAGGCAGAAAAACGGGTTCCCTCTCACTGCACAGAAACTTTAGCATGATTACTCAGCTCTCACCCAGTCTGTGCCTCTTGGCAGCTCTGGCTGGCCAGCTTCAAATTTAAGGTGGGAGGGGGCAATGTCCAGTCAGGCCATGGACAATTTCTTGAGGTGTCAATAATGTCCTTCTTCTACCTCAACTGGTTAAGGAGACACTTGTGTGAATCCCCACGGGATCCCTGAAGCAGCTCTCTGGAGCACCAGGTGGAGGGCGACGAGGGTGGAGGTCAGTTCTGGCAGGCCTGGGGGAATACCATTGAGCTGAAGGAAGGAAGGTCCTGGACGGTCGTGTCCCCACATTATTTTGGAAGAGAAGAAGATGGGTCGTAGTGAGTAGCCGGCTCCAGATGCTCAGGAGCCAAGGCCTTTTGAAGCAAAAGGGTGAACAAACTTCCTGTGAGCTCGCTGGTTCTTGCTGGGTATGTCCTCCGTGTTCTAGAATCCTTGAAGCCAGCAGCTGCTCGGATCTGGGAGCAGCGTTCCAACCTGTGAAGATTCCGGAGACCCTGTCTGACTGGGTACTAAGACCATGCCTGCCCCAAACTTTTTTGGAGGAAGTGTTGTTTCTCCCGCTTCGCTTCATCCGAGAAGTACACTCCCGCCCCTCTCTCGCCGGCCAAGCGGTGACCTCAAACCCTGTGCCTTCCAATGAACCAAAAAAGCAACTACTCACTCTCGGGTGCCACCTCCAGAGTGAGTCCCTCGGGCTCTTTCGGAGCGCCCGGCCGGCCCACCCGGCACTCCGGGCGGGCACCGAGCGGGCTGAGAGCGTTGGCCAAGTCCCCATGCTATTTTGGATGGGAAGGGAGTCTCACACTCGCTAGAGTAGAAACTTGTCTACTGCAAGGTAAAATGAGCAGCAGTAACTTTAAGACATTTTGAAGATAGTCTTTCTCCTGCGAACTTTGAAACTAAAAAGGCGGAGACAATTATTTTAGGTAATTTTAGCAACACTCAAGGGAACAGGGAAAGCTTGTGTTCCCAGAGCATTCTCTGGGGGCACTGAGTGCAATTCTCTAGAAGGCTCCACTTTTCCAGAAATTTCTCCCCAGCCTTTCAGTCTCCCTGCTGTTCCTCAATAATGCCACGGGGAAATCAGTCGGACAAACGCGACCGAGGGAAAAAACATTCCTGCTCGGCTCCAGATGCCCGGGAATATTAAGGGGAAACCGAGAGCTGCGGAGACACCCACACTGCCCCGCCATCAGCACCAGGAGAGGGGTGGGAGCTCTACGCCTGCAGGCGGACTTGAGGCAGGAGAGCTACGCAGCTAGTCCCTGGCGCGGTGCGGAGACCGCCGGGGCGCCCCATTTCCCGCTGGTGTAGGCCGGGAACCCCGGTTCAAAAGCCTCCTGGGAGGGGCTACTTCCGGAGCGCCCGAGACCACGCCCACTTGAGCTCGCCACGCCCATGGTTCTGCTTGCACCGCCCACTCTACTGTCTGGGCCGCGGGCTTTGAACTGAGGAAAAGTTTGGGGGGTGGGAGGGGGATAAACTTAAACAAGTGGCAGAGTAAAGGCCGAAGCGGGCTTCAGTATGGAGCCGGGAAGGGGCGGTCATTTTAAGACATGAATCGCAAGTCTTTGGACGCAGCCAAGCTTCAAAAAGCTCAGGGCCCAGAGGGCAGCGGGTCTCAGGCCTCGTCCATTTGTGGTTGGAGATCGAAAGGGTAAGACCTTCACATCACTTTCCTGTACTAGTATCCCTGACCAACTCCAATCGTCCCGAGTCAGAGGAGCTAAGAACTGTCCCCACGCCCTTGACAGGCCGGGTTTCTTTAAAAGGTGCAGTGCCTTCCATAGAGACCTGTTAAAGCGTCTAGACAGACGCAAGGCGTCAAGATGCGGTGCAATGTAAGTACGTGGAAAACCAGTTCACCAAAGGAAGTTTCAGTGAAACTGAGGGGGTCTTATTTTCCCAAGGGAGATGCTGGCCGGGGCTGGCCTTTGCCACAGCCCGAGATTACACTCTTCGTTGCGTGGATAGCACAACTGGCCCCAGTTGCGGGTATGACAATGGTGGTGGCAGCAAGAAGGAGAGTCACCAAGGGTGTTCTGGCCCCCGGTTCCACAGCTGGGGGTCTGCAAGTTTCAGGGGTCCCAAGGGTGGGGACGCGAACCCAGCGGCCTCTTTGTAGCGGTGGGTTGCAGGCCGGAGGGGTGCGTCCGCTGGGACGCGGGAGGGGTCGCAGGATCCCAGCCACAGCGCAAGTCAGAGGCTTCCTTGGGGAAAGGTAAAAGCTTTTGACCTCCAGACACTTGGCATCTGATGCTTGACAAGCATCCGGCAGAGAAAGGCCAAGTAAGCCTGCCTTGATTTCCCAGCGCCAGAGCAGTGGCACTTCTGCAAAGGCTCAGCTAGGGACGTACCCCGACGATGAGCACAGCCAACCCCGCGGGCACTTTGCCCGACACGCCCACTCTTGCACTCAAGTGTTTTGCGCACTCGTACATCCCACATACTACTTGGTAGATCCCGCCC